TATAGCCTTTTCTCACAGCAACCAGAACAATTAAATGTGTCATTTTGATGGCGGATTGTAATCCATAAAGGATTATGTGTTTATTAAACACATGTGAATGAAATTAAATTATATTCCAGTTATAAATGTGCTTCTGATTACAGATAGCCTGGGATTACAAAGATTTGTATTTTAAAGAAAACCAGTTCGAAGGGCGCATAATTTGCTTTTTGGGTTAAAAGAATTTCTTAATATGAAATTCGAAGAGTATGACAATTAGATTAGACAGATTAGACTTTGAAATCTACATGCTAATACACACTATACTCATAGTCACCAATGCTGATGTTGTTAACATTGTTAACATGAGAATAAAGTATAACAATAATAATAATTTGAACGGTTTGATGTGATATGAGCTAACCGATCTTTAGATTTAATCACCATTGGTAGCGAGATTTATGGTAATGCTTTTTTCCTCAGTTGGTCAGAACAAACGTGGCAGACTTGTTACTTACTTGTTCAGATGACAATATACGGTGAAAATTCTTATTTGGGTCATATATTCCAAGACGTAGGCTAGAATCTGTGATCCTGAAGTACAGTATCCACACATACTCCTCAAAACATTAGATTCATCCGCGCTGGAGCCGCGCTAGAGCACAACCCACGCAAGCTAGATAATTCCGCACACAGCTGCAATTCCAGGTTTTCAAACAGAGATGGCGACAAAGAGGCAAAACTTACGGACTGCAACTTTAAGGTGTCCAACTATGTCCTCCAGATGCGTTGCAAAGAAGCCAGGACGTCTAAGAAGCTAAAATAACATTTCCTATCTCACACTTGTCTTGCACATACACACATACACACACACACACAAAGTATTTTGAGAGCGTAGGAAGACTGACTCTATTATGTCATTTGCAGTGCTTTAACAAGCCCTAAAGATATCAGTTCTCTGATTCGTGGAAATTTCTTAGCTTTTTACCAGGAATTCCACTGTTAAGCATGATTATTTAAAAAAAACAACAACAAAAAAACAATGCAGACTGACGGCTTTTACAAAAGCATATTGATTAACAACCCTGCAGCTCACAGTAGGTCTGTCTATAAAGATTTATAAGTTATCATTAAAAATCAATTCCCTTTTTAAGAAAATGAATGGGATTTTCACTTCCGACTGTTGTACTCTATTAGCAAAGATCTGACTGTTGGATTGGTGCGACTGACCAATCAGATTTGAGTATTCAAAAGAGCTGCTTCCGAAATATTCATTGAAGGAAGGAAGGAAAGCGAGCAAGAAAGAAAGAAAGAGAAAGAACGAGCAACCTCAGATGAAAAAAATATCATCAGACACAACAATTAGTTTTATATTGTTTTGGCACTCTCATTTTTGCAAATGAAACCTGGGCCCCAGATTTGTGGTTAGCACAATCCTATTTGATTACACTGAACACGCTGCTGTTGTCTTTCTGTGTGGTTTCCACCCAGGCCAGATTTAATTGCAATCAGGGTTTGTTTTGCAGGGTAGGGAGTCAGAAACTAAACCCTTTGTTCCACTTGGTTTCGCCCAGAGCTGAACACTGCTGCAGAAATGTGTCTGCATGAGAGAGACAGAGAGATTGTGTGTCACTGTATATTTTTGTATATCACACTACCGATTATAAATAAACATACTGCAAATGGTAAAGAGCCACTCTGTGAGCTAGTAATGAATGAATGCAAGCAATCAAAGCAGGTTAGCAATGCATAGTGACATTTTCAAAACGTTTCCATATAGATTCCTATAACGGCTAGCATATTAAGTATTTTTTTTAAAAACAACAATGCTCCAAAAAAACAGCAAATGCACAAAAATATCTTGCTTTTATCCTGTCACCATCGGATAATCACTGAATGAGATCAGAAGCAGTCACAGGCTCTTCACAGGCTTTACTTTTTATAACAAATAAATGATATCCGTAGCACAAACCTATCACATAGGACTGTGACTCTTGTGCCAAAGATCTCTATTTATATGGAAATAGTCAGGAAGAAATTACCTTCATCACTGACACATCAGCTGCAAACCAAAACAAGAAAATAATTGGATTGGCTGGAAATGCTTGGTGCTGTTTGAACTGTGGAGTAGAGATTAGAACAGGCCAAGCTTAAAACAAAATCAAGCCAGAAATGTAATTAAGTTAATTGAATCTAAAATGGGAGAATCCATATTGGAAATTATGTCTTTGGATGTAAAATGACCATAAATGTCCTGTGGACCCACCTGCAAACTCCAAAATTACAATCACTTTCGGTGGTGTGATAGCTGTGGACAGATCTGGGTTTTACTCTTACTGTAAGTGCCAAGACAGGTTTTTGACAGATGGAACGTTCAGAGCATCACTTTAGGTGCCAGTGCCTCCATGCATACAAACTGGGACACACAGTGGTCTCAAATGGAGGTTGAGATGATGCAGGACTTTTATTTGTCTCACAGCTGTTAGAAAAAACATAATCAGGGCATTTGGTTTGCATGCACACAGACAAACCTTTCTAAAATACCAGCTTAGACCACCATGAATTTTATTCCAGTCCAGACTGGTCTACAGCTGGTCTTCCCTCTTCAGTTTGAAAGCTTGTGTAATATCTCAAAATGTAATATCTGCTAAAAAAAATACATGTAAAACTATATAAGGGTCAAAAACAGGTAAATATATGTTGACGTAACCACAAACGCCACATAAACACTCATAGTGAAAAGTCCATGCCCTGTTGCCTTTTCACATCAAAATCCACTATTTGTTTAGAACTGTTTAGAACTGTTTGCACTTGTAAATGGTGCTTGATCTGTGCATATTTCTCTCCTGATTCAGACGAGAAAACTTTTTCATCAGAGAAAGAAATGAGTGCAGGACTCATATTTTAGCCAGAAGCAATGGTTTGAAAAACATCTTAATGATGGATTGATTACAAACATGGAGTTTCACAAGACATTATTTGATGGACTGGAATTGTGTGGATTACTTGCGGATTATTGTGATGTTTTTATCAGCTGTTTGGACTCTCATTCTGACAGCACCCATTCACTGCAGAGTATCCATTGGTGAGCAAGTGATGTATTGCTAAATTTCTCCAAATCTTTTCAGATGAAGAAACAAACTCATCTACATCTTGGATGGCCTGAGAGTAAATTTTCAGCACATTTTCATTTTTAGGTGAAATATTCCTTTGAAGTGCTTATTTCCTTGTGCGACCTTTTGTACAACCACTTACCCACAGCAAACCTTTATGCATAAATAACCATTTCAATTAATACCTCACTAGATGGGAAGATAGAAAAGGTCAGTGGTGGACACCAACTGGTCAAGGGCACTTTCAAAACAATCAATGATACTGAAATGCATACAAGCAATCAAAGACTTGCAAATATCACACACACCATCACACACTCCCATTGTGTGTCCTGGCATCAAGAATCACTTGTTTCAGCCCAAAGGAAACATTTACCCACGTAATTAGTTTATCTAATCAACATGTTTTGCAGAGCTGAGAAATAAACAGCTGTTTGCATGGCAGCGA